CATGGAAGGCATGTATCATATTAGGTAAGACGCATTTTTGCTCTATTTTAAATTTTACACAGTGTGTTACTAAAGAATGCAGCTTCATATACATGGTAGTTTTCTTATTATCCATCTTGTTTCAAGTCCTGTACCTTCTTTCTTTGACTTGTTGAAATAGGTACCTGTAACATTTTTGTGTGTGTGATCATTAGTTGTATAGAAATACAAAAAAGTCATTGAGAGGGAATGGAAGGAGTATATTTGAAAAACTATTATCTGGTCAGTCTACCTACATTGATAAAAATTAACTGGATGCTTGCCAGAAGTCTACTTTACTTCATGATATATAAACACAGACAAATCTGAAATTATCTTGAAGATTAGGGTTTTAAAGAATACTGTCTAAAACACACATTCTTCCACTAAGTCATCACATAATAATTCTTATTAAATAACAAATAAAATATTCTTTAACAAGTCAATTTAATAATAAAGAAAAATTTTACTTTGATAATGAGAGCTGCATGATATCTTAAAACAAGGAGGTTGTTTTACATCCAAATATTCATATCAAACATTTAGATTAAAACTTTTTCATTGTCATTTAGCAGTTTGTGAAAATTTTACAATCTGGATGAGGAAGCGATTATTAAATATATTTATATATGTCAACCCAATTTCCCATTTCTCATTTGTCTTGAGATTCCATGGATAGCTTTTACTATGAAAGCTAGAACTCCTATATGGCGAGAACAATGCTAAAGAAAATAGCTCTTAAGGAAAAGTACTGTGAAATAGTTTTCTAGATTATCTTGATTTTTCTCTGAAAGAGAAATTGCAAAGGATAAAACTGCTCAGGACAAGCCACCAACCCTGATAATCAGGGTCTCTCTATAAATGAAATAATAAAAACTGAAGACAGGTATATATTTACACAAAAATACACATACATTGTTCACAGTTTCCAGATACTATGGTCTAAATGAAAACAAGAGATTAGAATTATTGATAAAAATTATGTTTTTTTTATGTCAAGTAATGCAAAATATGTTCCAGACAAAAAAAAAACCCGAGTATATATTTATACTACCAATAATGATCATTTCTTCTCCCATTTTTTGTTAAAATAATTATATTATTTCTTATCTAAGTCAATCAGAAAGAAGAATAATATTTAAATTATATGAAGAATAAAAGAATATGGTGTCAAACATGATGGCTGGGATTTGTTATTTTTTTAAGTCTCAGAATTGATCCATTTCCCACACTTGTATTAAAAACCAATGCATTATATTCCACAATTCAAAAAAGTATTTTTTGTTGTCATCATCCTGAACTGTTTATGTAGTCATTAAGAAAATAACCAAATATCCTAAGATATGACTTTGCAAATTAAAAGTCCGTCCAGCAAAATACATGTTCTAATACTAAATTAAAAACTATATATGTATTTTTAAATACTGGCTAGGGGGTGGCTCCATAGTGTAATGGTTAGCACGTCTGCTTTACATGCAGAAGATCCTGGATTCGCGCCCCAGGTGGAGTCACTGACCAGGCCCCAAGTGAGCCAGGCCCCAGGTGAGCTAGGCCCCGAGTGAGCTAGGCCCCAGATGCATGCCACGAGTTTGTGGGAGGGGACTCCCCAACTTCAGAGGTCCAGTTCTTAAGGGGAAATGGCAATATCCATAGGTCAGGGGTGGAAGTCGGGGGGCGGGGAAGAGGGAATTAAAGAGGGGGAAAAAATAAAAAATAAAATAAAATAAAACACTGGTTAAATATATTAATGTTATAAATTTTATACTGGATTATATGTTATATCTTTGTCTTTCAAAATGATTCCAGTGGGTATTATTCCTAGAGGATAACAACACATTACTGGTATCATACACATTAAAAACAAGATTGTTTTGTAATTAATGATGACATGGGATTTAAAATGCCTAAAAAACATTTAGGTGAAAAGAAAAAGATGAACAAGATAGTTATTCAAAACTTAAATTAATTATAAAGATTTATTTCATAATATTAAAATTTATTGGCTATTTGTGTTTTTAAATAAATAGATGGGCCGATCACTCATAAAAGGTAATTCAATGTTTAAATATTGAGCACTATGGAGAGATTTATAATTTCCAAAAAAGCATATGAATTACTATTGAAAATATAAGTGTAAATATTCCCTGGAACATTATACTGAATTTAAAAGTTGAAGAAGGTATATACTTGAAATAAAAAAAATCATTCATATTCTTCCCTCATTCAAATAAATGCATTATTTTTTAACCTTCTAAATATGGAATTAAGATTTATCTGAGTTAAATTGTCCTAAAAATATTTTTTAGTAGAAAAAGAAGAAAATAAATTTGTAAAATAGTTGACCTATTTAAATCAATATTTCTGCAAGAACAGTATAGTACATCTTACTGGTATTTCTACAGAATACAAAGATATAAAGTAATTTCTGATGAAAATTTCATAAGCCCACTACTCAAACAGAGTAAAGGTAGCCCTTTATTCCTCAGTCTCCCATATCCCCTTCCTCATATTTAGCTTTCTCTATGCAAGAGGACAATATATAGAGGTATTCTTCCCCAGCTCCCATTATTTCCAGATCGTTGTATTTGCCACCAAGCACATCTTATTTTCCTTATTGGCCAAGGTTTGGAAGTAGGAAATATCTATTTCCAATACATTTTAATTTGTGCCTAATAATGTGCTTCTTAAATTTACATTACATTACAGAAGCATAAAAGGGCCCCAGGTCTTAGATAATATAATGACTTTGGGTCTGCACAGATAAAATAAAACAGAAAATTTAATACTGCTGGATCTTAATTTGGCTATTCACAAGTTAATGGGAAATTGCAGTGGATTTAAAGAGGCTGACAGGAGTTCTCATACCTGGCTATATATGTACGGCTGGGCAACTTACAAAAAAAATGAAAATGCTGCTGTGACTTATTTATTTATTTATTAAAATGTGTGTGTTGACTAATTTTAAAACAAGAGAGTCGAGAGATTATATTTCATTTCATTTGTTACATGCTCTTGAAGTAAAATCAAGAATAATAATAGGTGTCGGTACTGAGGTCTACAATCACAGAACCACTGGCTGACTTTGTTGAGAGAGAAGAGGTGAAACATGGTGGGGGATTGTAAAGCCACCCAAAGTAACAAGCATCCCGTGAACTGTATAATCTACTTACACACATCCATACACGCACATAATTTAAAACAAAATCTGACTAATATTTTTCTTTAAAGGATGACAGATAAAACCCAGAGTTAAATATAAGATGTATTATGATAAATATACTTTATCAGTTGTTGTTCTAAACATCAGAAAAAAACTGAGAGACCCTAAACATAAAAAGCTAAAGCTTAAAGAAAGCAATCATATCATGAAGTTAACCAGACTAACAGAATAACTCTTTTGCCTTGTAGAATAACTTAACTCTTAACTGGAAAATAATGCGTTAGAGATTTGTTTTGGTCTCTAAAACTCCCCAACTCCACAGAAATTAGGTTTTCCAATCTTTATATTATTAAAAATATTGCATTCTTATTCTATTTTCTCCCCCTATGCCTACATTACTTCAGACAATGATTTCTTTTTATAAAGGAAACAATCACATAAGATTTCATTGAATTTATCCATAGATTACTTAATGTCTTCTTGATGTTTATATGTTCATAAGTATAGATATATGTAACTCTCACTTTTGTTTCAAACTGTTCTATAAACCTATATTTTTGTTTTTTCAGCATTCTGAGTTCCTTCAAGGACTACAGTGTTTATTTCTAGTGGTGCAGTTAAAAGTAAGGCAAACCTCGATTCTAATTCCAGCTCTGAGCTAGTGACTTTGGGCAACTAAACTGAGGCACAAGTGCTTAATCTGTAAATTCCGGGATAAATAAAATTGAGCTTACTAGGGCTGCTGTAAGAAATAAATCACATCATATGTATAAAACACTCAGGAAAATGTATGTCTAAGAATATTTGATTAATAAGTAATAATTATTAATGAGTTTTATAAGAAAGAAACTAATTAGGTCACATATATGGGTTGATATCCTACTATATACTCTGGACTATGATAGGTTTAGTGGAGTATACAAAAAATGTATAAACATAATTTCTTCCTTAAGTAAAGATTGCTAAATATAAAACAATGAGATGTAACTGTACCATAACTGTATGTCACTGTTAAAAGGAGTGAACAAAAAGGAAATGACTCTGTGCATTCTAATATGTTTTCATAAAAGAGTTGTAGTTAAACTGAGCATAAAAGTGAGGTAGCATTCTAAAAAGGGAGAATAATTTAAAGAAAAGCCCAGGAGCTGGTTGTTGCAAAGGTAATATAGAGGATAGTGTGCAACAGCGAGCAGTAGAGAGAAGGTGGTAGAAAGGACAATGACCTAATCGAGTGGATACTCTGGGAAGAGTAAAACAGTACTGGGTTTGTGAGCTAAGTTCACCTTATAGAAAAGCTTGAAATACAGGCAAAAGAGTTCAAATTTAATATGTAGGCAGGAGAAAGCCACTGAAAGTTTGAGAGCAATATAGATGATGTTTTTAACTAAAATAAAGATAACACAAGGTTATCAGTTATGAAGATATCAAAAATTAGTAGTGATAATTTTAATGGTAACTTTAGTTGAAATAACAGTGGTGAAAATGAAGAGAGAAAAACTGATTCCAAGTTCATATTAATTGGGGAAAAGAAAAAAGA